ATTATACCACTACATAGTATTATATCTTTAGATTTAAAGTTTTGAAGATAATAATTTCCAAAAGGCATTTCTTAAGCATATGGCATAGTACAAAGCTAGCCAAAATTAGTAAAAAATAATCTACTTGGCTCCCATCCCTATTTCCTATTAACCTTTGCAGCTGTAAATCTCTTGATGCCACATTGCAGAAATGGCCTCATATTTCCTAACTGACTGCCATTGGCTATAGGCCAACTTCCCCTTTATGGGATAAATGTCAAGACAGCTTCACAGAGAGATTAACATAGTGCCTGGTACATAGTAGGTAGTTAATAAATGCTTGATGATTTGGATTAGAGAGGCTTTTGGAGTTATTATATAGCTCTTTCTCACTGATCCAGTCCCAGTCATTATCTGGATTCATTCACCTACTTGTCCATGTCTAAATCTTATGTACATTTTGTTACTCTTTCTCCCCATCACCTCTCAAAATTATTTACCAAACTTTGTCAATCCTCTCTCTACAATATTTCTTGTATATATCCCTTCATCGTTATTCCCACTGCTGCTATCCTGATATGGACCTCATTTCTATCCACCTGGAATATTACAATAGCCTCTGAACAGGTTTTCTTAGCTCTACTTTCTCTTCCTCTTATCCATCCTTTATACTACCATATCAGAATAATCTTCCTCATATGTAGATCTGGTCATGTCCATTTTCTGCTCAAAAAATCTTCAGGAGCTCCCCATCATCTATCAAATAAAGTTCAAAGTGTGGCATCCATTCTACAATCAAAGTCCATCCTACCTTTCCATTCTTAGATATACACTATGCTCCAATTAAACTGGAGTATTATGTCCCTAGAATGTGCTCTCTGCTTTCCTACTCTAGAACATTTGCTCATGCTGTTTTCTGTGCCTGGTGTGGCCTCCCTCTCCCTTTCCCACTTGTTGAATTCCTGTCCATTCTTTAAATCTCAACTTAGTTATTACCTCTTCCATAAAGCATTTCTTGATCCCTTTTATTGGAAACAATCTTGAATACTCTCTTTGTCATACTCTTCTAAAGTACTTATCATGTATCATTGGATAATTCAGTTAATGGAATCTGCTTGTCATCTCCTAACTAATTTGTTAGCTAGTTCCTTGAGGACAAAGGCCCTGTCTTATCTAAACTCGGTTATCTCTCCTGGTGTAGTGATTTGCACTCAGTAGGTAATTGGAAAATGTTTACTTAACTGTATTGATTTGGAAGACTTGGGGAGGACCATTAAATCTTGCTAGTTCAGAGACCACAAGTTAGGTGATACTAGTGTTTGGGCTTGGGCTTCACAGACTCCTGGGGAGTCAGAGGGGAGACAGAGACAGAGGCAGCCTTGAATAAGTCTGAAAGCCTGGCTAACTGAAGCTTCTAGAGTTCTGCAAGAGCAGCCCCTCTTTACACTGAAGATCCTTGAGATCTGCTTGAGCCTAACATTGAACACAGTCAGTCAACAAGCATTTATTAAGTGCCACCTCTATGCTGGGCACTGTACTAAGTGCTAGGGATACAAAGAAAGGCAAAAATAGTCCCTGCCCTTAAGAAGTTTACAGTCTAATAGGAGAACAATATGCAAAAAAATAGTACATGCAAGATACACAGTGTAGATAAAAGGTAATCTTAAAAGGGAGTTACTAGCAATGGGGGAGGGAAGACGGAACCATTGACCAAACAAGTAAGGTGCGGCCCATTGAGAAGTCGGCTCCTTGGCAAACCAACCAAGTCAACAAGCATTTATTAAACACATGTGGTGATTAAAATAATTCTGAGAGACATAGTTTCTATGTAATTTAATCATTTTTATCAATAAGGCCAGCACATTATTAATAAAAGGATGACCATCAAACCAAAGGCAATCATGGTGGCTGGGCTGCTCACAGTTTATAGTAGGTATTTCTGAGGAGTGGCAATCCACTCTGGTTGACACAATGGGACGTGGGCTGAGGGTGACATCATGTCATCTTTGGACACTCTCTATGCCCAGACCATCCCCAGCCTAAGGCAATCTATTCAAAGAATTTATACCCCACCCAAGCCTGAGTAGAATGCAATTAGCTAGCCTGCAAGGGTGGGGTCCTATTCCAATCTCATTATTAGCAATGTCCTTCCAGAGACTGAACTTTTTAAAATCAGGACTTTAGAAGAAGTGGGTTGTGGATAGAGAACGGGCTCTGGAGTCTGGAGGACCTGAGTTCAAATTCGGTTTCAGACCAAACGACACTTACTAGCTGTGTGATCCTGGGCAAGTCACTTAATCCCAACTGCCTCACTTAAAAAAAAAAGATGAAGAACAAGGGGAGGACTCTGGGTCTCCCTAAATCATTGGTTATTAATAATCATTTCTCTCACTACTCTGTTCCAGACCCTGTGCTAAATGCTGGGAATACAAAGAATGGCAATTCAACCCCTATTCTCAAGGAGTTCACAGCCTAATGGAGGAGACAACATGCAAGCAACCATGTACAAACAAGATATATAGAGGACATATTGGAAATAATCTTAGGTGGAAGACTCTAGGATTAAGGGGAAGAGCTTCTTTCAAGATGGGATTCAGCAGCACCACTGACAGAAACAGAGATGTTAGAAGGAGGCTTAGGCTTAGAGGGAAAGTAATGCTGACATGATGAACACAAAGCACCATAGGGACATCTGGGCACAGATGTCATGCAGACAGTGGGAGGTGAGACCTTTGGATTTGCTTATTAGGAAGTCACTAATGACCTTGGAGAGAGCAATTTCAGCAGAATGCTGGAAGGGGCAGCCAGATTGTAAGAGGGTAAGGAGATAGTGGGTGGAGAGTAAGGGGAGGCTTTGGGCACAGGCAACTTTTTCCATAAGTTTAGCAGTGAGGAGAGAGCTGAGAAAGTAAATAATAATGATAACGCTTTTGAAAAAAAAATTAAGGCATAGGGAGACTTGAACATGGAGGTTAAGGGGAAGCAGCCAGTGGAGAAGGAGATACTTGCCCTTGTCAATAGTCTAAGCCAGGAGTGGGGAACCTGTGGCCTTGAGGCCACATGAGACCCTCTAGGTCCTCAAGTACAGCCCTTTGACTGAATCCAAATTTCACAGAACAAATCTTCTTAATAAAAGGATTTGTTCTGTAAAACTTGGACTCATCAGAAGGCCACACCCAAGGACCTAGAAGGCCACACCCCTGGTAGGCCCAAAGAACCTCACCCTTGTAGAGGTAATAAAAACCTCCTTTGCCAGGGTCCTAATGAGGGAGACTCCTTTCAACCTATTCCATTATAAACAGATTTCCACTAACATACTACAGATGACTATACTACAATGTTATACATTTCTATAGAATGCAGTTTTTTTTAAGTTAAGAATTTAACTCTCACAAAAAAAAATTTTTAAAGAGAGAATAATGTAAAGATGGGGTGATTGAGTGAATCAATTCATTCACTCCACCCTTACATCTTCTGCCCTGTTTTTATATAGACTACATTTAGCTTTAGCCCACCCACCCTCCCTCCATAAATATTAATTAGTTGACAGTGTGTGTTCAATTAACAAGTATGCATTCAGCACCTACTATGTGTCAGGCACTGGGACAATACAGTGAATGAAACAATCCCTACACAGAAGGAAAAGCTGTTATCAATAAAAAAGAAACAATTGTATTTTCCATTCAGAAAGGTCATTCCATCTTTATTACAAAATTTATTTTATTATAATTCTTATTTTATTACAATTTATATTATTTTATTCCAAAATTAACCTTTTGAATATGTCATTGTAGTAGAATTTAGAAAAATGCTTAAACTAAGTCACCAGTACTTGTCCATCAGATAAATATAATACGGGCAATTTTTAATTACTTATTCTAACAGAGGAGAACATTGAGACAGATATTCCAAAACTGCTATTAAATCAATGCCAACCCCTGGCACTTGGGCAGTTTTACCACTTACTGCCACTATCACCAGTCCTAAGCTAGGAAATATAAAGCTACTCCTATTATTAAAATAAACAATACTTTTACTCAATTCAATTCAGCAATTCAACAATGATTTGAGTATCTCTTCTGTGATTTCATGTAGGAAAAATATCATGGCAAGTTGACTGAGTATTGAAAATAACAGAGGATATAAGCATGACACAGACACACATAGTTTTTCATCTGCTACTTTCTATAGTGAAATTGAGATACAAAAGATGTCACAGACCAAAAGAAAAAAAGTCCTGACACCCATGAAAATTGACACCATCCTTGGTTACAGAGACTGAAATAAATTTTGCTTTTGACAAAATAATTAAAAATTGAGATTATGTTCTACAGTTTCATAAAGCTTCACTTCACACATCTACTAATGTTTGTTGCTATTAGACATATTAATACCAGTTTTCAAAATGTAGGAAAGGCTACTCAAAGTCTTCTTCATTGGCACGTATTCTTAGACCTGTATCAAGACTTTAAAAACAATGTTCACACCACTGATCCAAGATATCATAAGAAAGGATGTTGGGTTTAGAGTCAAAAATCTTGGGTTTAAATTGTTCTTTTCCCGGCTCTTAAATTTGTTAGTTAGGGGATTATGGGCCAGGCACTTCTGAGGGAACAGGTTCCAGAAGGTCAGAGGCATAGCACTAGAAGGGACCAGGAGGTTGGGGGTGGGAGTGGAGGGGAGGGTACCTAGTCTAACCACTTCATTAAATGAGGCCCAGGAGGTTGTGATTTGCCCAAGGTTACTCGGGTAGTAAGTAAAAGAGATAAGAAGGAGGAAGGGGACACAGGTTTCTTACCACAATAGCATCTAATTTCTTTGAACTTCATTCTCTTCATCTGCAAAACAATGCCTGTACTCACAGAGAACATTTGACAAATTCTAAAGAACTACATAACAATAACAAAAATAACAGCTAGCAATTACATAGCCTTTTAAGGTTTGCAAAGAACTTTATATATGTTTTCTCATTTTATCTATACAACTCTGTGAGGTAGGGGCTATTAACCTCATTTTACAGATGAGGAAACTGAGGCTCAAAAGTTTCAGAGACCTGCCCAAAGTCACACAGCTAGTAAGTGTCCAAGAAAGGATTTGATAACTTGAAGGGACCCCTACAGGACTCATACCTGACTGCAAAACTTGGCTCTGCCACTTTCTACTTCTGTGACCTTGGACAAGTCACTTCACTTCTGTGAGCCTCATTTTCCCCCCTCTGTAAAATGAGCGGTTGGCCTCTAATGTCCCATCTGACTTTAGAGCTATGATATTTCAATTGATCTCTAAAGCCATAGATGATTACGCACCCTCAACTGCCATAATCCCTTCACTCCTTTTTTTCCTCATGCAGGTCTTATTCCTTTCTCCCTATAAATCCTCCAAAGAGGCTCTACCCAACATGCTCAATGCCTTTCTCTAGATTGTTGAACATTCTGTGGGTGTGTGACACTTGGGCAATCCATCTGTTACCCTTTCCCCTCACCACATGACCAGGCCTTTTCCAACCATCCATTTCCATGATGGTATCTTTTATGTCTCTTCTTCCATGCAAATCATTGTTGGTAATATGTCTAAGCCAACTTATACCTGCTTCGTGTATTTCTCTTGCTTTTTGGGTCACTTGTAAATTTGACTCTTCACGGATTGATACATTCCACAACGATATAGTACAACAAAGAGAATATTCTTGCTAAAAAGATGATCTTTGTGTGTATCACAGATCAGCTTGAAATTATTAAAAGCATTACCATGTCCTAAATGTAATCCAGACCATTCTCTTATTCAATTATGGGCCCAGCTTATTATTCATTTTGCAATACCAGACCTAAATAAATGTTCTAATTAACTCAATAGGCTGCTTTCATACAATGAAGACATTAGGTATTCATCCACTTGATTTTTCCTATGTAGATTGTGATGTCTGAACTCTTTTAATTGATTATGGATTGCACTGAGCATGTTCTATCATATTTTGAGGCTTAATGCAGATTTCTCTGACATCATATACAAGCAAGAGCAGCTGGAAAACTTCACTGTCCAGAGAATCCCTCTTCAATCTGCGTCCTGCCTACTACCATCCATCATGATAGTACTGAAAACATTTAGTGAGCTTATACCTCCCAGTTTATTTTTATTACTATTATGATAATAGCTAACATTTATATAATGCTTTAAGATTTGCGCAGCACTTTACACGTGTTATCTCACTGAATCCTCACAATAACCTTGTGAGGTAGGTGCTCTTATTATCCTTATTTTACAAATGAGGAAGCAGAAGCCCAAAGGGGTTAAGTGCCTTATCCAGCATCACATAGCCATGTAAGAATCTGAACTAGCCTTCAAATTCAGGTCTTCGGATTTCAATTTTCACACTCTACGCCATCTTAAGTTTTGATTGAAGCCTTTTGCTGGTGACCAATTACACAGTGCTATATGCAGTCTCATATTGTCTACAGCTTTGCCCTGGAAGTGGAGATTTTCAAGCTGGTGATTAATTCCTTGACCAGCTGACTAGCCTGGAGAGCAGTGCCCCAGTGCACAGCAAAGCCACCAGCGCCATGGCCATAGTTGTGAACCACAGGCAGTCGATGTCCATCTTGTACTAATATCTCCTTCTGTAGTCTCACTCCTGGCCGTGATGGCCGTAAACCCACCTTCTCTTTGATATCCCAGGCTCCATGAAGAGATGGCTCAAGAGCCCAACACTTGGCAAGAATGTCTCTACTATTCTGTGGATCAGGGGACAGGTTCCAGTCATCTTTTTGTCTTGTTCCACCTAGTGTTACGTTGAAGACTCCTGGGTAAATATAGGTCTGGCCATCCCCATCTCGGATAAAATGCTTTACCCACGGTGCCTGAACTTTAAGGACTTGGCCTCTCACAGGGAAAATCTGCAAGTCACCTACTAAGTCTCTGCTTCCAAGGCCTGAGCAATTGGCAACAATATCATACGAGCCATAAAGCTCCCACAGATCTTCTACCTTTCTGTCGTGGACTTGGCCTCCACTTGCTCTTATCCTAGGAAGAAGAATGATGACAAGATAAGGCATGGTAGTTGCTAGTGCTCCCATGTATCGCACAGGACCAAACAAGAACATCCTTGAAAGCAGGAAGTTCTTTATTCTTTGTTTTTGGATCCTCAGCACCTGGCACAGCGTTTGGCTCTTAGTACATGCATTGATTGCTTGAAAAATAAACCAATAATGCAGTAAGGTAAAAGGGGCAGATGTCATGAGGTGTTTCACAGAATCATAGCACCAAGAATTGAAGAATTTGAAGAGATCTCAGTGCCATTCTAAACCCAACTAAAAAGAATCATTGCTCTAATATATGCAGCAAGGGGTTGGCCAGCGTCTGCTCAAAGACCTCAGAGGAGTGACAACTCATCACCTCTTGAAGCAGCACCGTCTGCTTTGGGACAGGGCTAACTCACAGGAAGCTTTTTTTTTATATCAAGCCTCAGTTGGCATCTTTGCAATTTCTACCCTTTTCTCCTGCCTTCTAGGCCCAAAAGAACAAGTCTAATTGTTCTCAAGCAGAACATATTCAAATAAAAAATTCTAACAAGCATCCTAAAGTTGAGCAGAAATGACCATCCATTTAGATTAAAGATAAGGAAACTAAGCACCCTGAGCCTTTTTATGCTTTATTCAGTTTTTGGGCTGGCCTAGATGCTGAATAAATATACAACTAATTTGATACCCTGAATACAATATATGTATTATATCACTTAATTAATAACATTTAATTACATATTGCTTTGTAATTTTTATATTGTTCTCTTGTACTGTTTCTTTCTTTATGTTTCATTTGTAAATGCTTTATTCCCCCAATTCAGTTATAATCTTCTTGAAGTCAGAGGGACCATGACTTACTTTTTTTAAATTTTATTTTATTCTGAACTCAATAAAACAAGCATTTCCATAACATAGTAGAGGAGGGGGAAAAAAGAGATGACTGCACATGAAACTGCAAATCTATTATGTACAACTTGTTATTCCTTTTAAACATATGATGTTATCATGCAACTTTCTTTTTTCCCTTTTCCCTTTCTTCACGCATCCACAAATATAGCTAAGAATCAGACACAGACACACACACACACACACACACAAACACACACACACACACGTAAAATCATTCTATATATACTACTATTTATTTTTCTTTGGATGCAGACAATATCTTCCTTCGTGGGTCCTTTTTAGTTAATTTGGGCATTCATAGTAGTCAAAATAACTTAGCTGCTCAAAACTATGCTAGTTTGTTCAAATGTATGTCTTAAATCTTTCAGAGTAGAAATCTACTTATTGCGCCACAAGCCTAATGTGACCATGCCTTATTTCTCTTTAAATTCACCACATTGCCCAGCCTAGTGCTCTGTACAGAACAAAGTAAATACTTGCTGAATGAAGAAATCTAGGCTGGTAATGATTTGGGGAGAGAAGCAAATGGTAGCTTATTTGAACAATGTTGTTTCCCAAATCTTAGACCATCTACAGCATTCAGGTTAATTGGTGGGACAGATGGTCTTACTGGAGCTAGGACAACCTAGCTCTTCCAGAAAGATGCTATACTTTAAGTCCTTTCAGACCCACCAGGCCCAAGTAAATGTTGTCCAAATTATGACAGTTTGTTCAAATGTTCAGAGCAGAAACCTACTTACTGTATCACAAGCCTAATGTACCACTACATGTCTGGCCTTAAGAAATAAGGAAAGAATAAGCTTAAATATGAAAACGGGAATCACATAACCAAGCAGTTTATTAAATGCAGGCCAACCTCTTTTAATGTTTGTTCAACATGTATAAACTCAATTTTCTAATTTCTACGTCTTGGTTATGTTCACATCCTGTCCCCAGATAGATAAGAAACCCCATGGTAGTATGCCCCAAAGCCATGGGAGATAGGGATCATACTTTGCACCTCTTTGCAGCCTTGGCATTTAACACAGTGCCCTGTACATAACAGGATCTCAGTTGTGTCTGTTGTTTACGATGCTTATGTTGGCAGCTAGGTGGCAGAGTGGGTAAAGCGCTGCACCAGGAATCAGGAAGACTCGAGGTCAAATTTGGCCTCAGATACTCACTAGTCGTGTGACCTTGGGCAAGTCACTTAATTTCTGTTTGGCTTCAGTTTCGTTAACAATAAAATAAGGATAATAACAGTATCTACCTTCCAAGGTTATTGCATGGATCAAATGAGATAATATTTTAGTACAGTGCCTAGTACATACTAGGTGCTATATAAATGCTATAGTAATAATAATGTGTATATAATACATGTGTATAAAATATAATGCAATAATAATAAAAAGATGATGGTGGTGGTGGTGGTGGTGTGGTGGTGGTGGTGGTGGTGGTGGCAGTGGGTCACAGCTGGTACTCTATTTGGGAAAAGAGTAACTGAAGACTTTGTAATGATGGTGTGGTCTGTACCATTCTCCTGTTCTTAGAAAAAGCCCTCACCAATGTAGTTTCCCACATCTTCAGACCTGGAGGTCCTGCCACACCACATAGGTCCTAACCAGACACCCCTGTGAGAATTATCTCCTTGGGGGAAAGAGAAACAAGAGAAATGCAACACTAATCTAAAATTAATCTCTTAACATGTATCTTTATGCTATACTCAACAACTGTATCCTTGTAAGCCAAATAAACCTGTTCTTTTATAGGTCTTGCTTATGTCAATCAATCGTTTGTACTATATCCTAATAGCTGAGCTCAGGACCCCTTCCCAAGCCTTTTAACAGATTCCATTTCCTCATATATAAAGCGTCTGGATTATTTCTAATGCCCTTCCCAGCTCTAAAATGCAATGATTCTACGTTGTACTATACTTGGTAATAAATAGTAACTATTACTTTAGCCATCAACGAATATCCTCACTAGTAATTTTGTTCTAAGTAGTGACACAAATGTATTCCATGATCAGCTTTCAATATGAAATTGCATTAAAAAGTCAGCATGATACTACATGTCTGATTACAGGAAATCAAGGAAAGACTTAGGCAGACACTATA